TTTAGTAGTATCAAGCCAGACCAAGAAGAAGAATTTTATATGCATACAGATTTCCTTGACCCTAGAGTGGAGGCTAAGGTCTGAAAGGGCCCCTGGGGTGAATGGGAACCTAAGAGGACCGTGCAGGGAATGGGCTTCTGTCCCAGAAGCAGCAGTGACCCACCTGATGCAGCTCTGAGTAAGCTGGCGTGGCCTGTGTATTCCTGGTAACTCTTCCTATCTTATACAGAAGCCACTGAGGTTTTGTGTGTGTGTGGTTGTTTCTTTGTTTGTTTGTTTGTTTTTGAGACAGAGTCTCGCTCTGTCGCCCAGGCTGGAGTGCAGTGGTATGATCTCGGCTCACTGCAACCTCTGCCTCCCGGGTTCAAGCGATTTTCCTGCCTCAGCCTCCCGAGTAGCTGGGACTACAGGTGCCCGCCACCACGCCCAGCTAATTTTTTATATTTTTAGTGGAGACGGAGTTTCACCGTGTTAGCCAGGATGGTCTCCATCTCCTGACCTCAGGTGATCCACCCGCCTCGGCCTCCCAAAGTGCTGGGATTACAGGCGTGAGCCACCGTGCTCGGCTACCACTGAGATTTTTTAAGATGGCATTTGTATTGCTATAGAAAGAAAACAAAATAAGAGTTCCTTCCAGGTAACATGAAAACCCAAAGAGATGATCTCTAGGCAGCTTCTCAATCTAATGTGGCAGCAGAGAAGAGGAAGAAACTTACACTATTACATCGAATTTCTCTCTCCGTCTGGACCCTTGCAAAACCATATCACTAATTTGAATGCTGCACCAGTGAGGTCAGGATCTAAACTAATATATTGCAGTCCTTGCTAGAATTCATTATATGACGTGCCATAAGAAAAAAAAAAAAAATCCTGTCTGCATTTAGGCTTCTGTTTCGTAAGCTTCAAACATGTAAAAAGGTTTCTGGATCCTGAATTCAGGGACCTGGGTTTTCACACTGGCGCCACCAGGCCAGTGGGTGTGAACTTGAGCAATTATCTTAAATACTTTCGTCTTCATTTTCCTCTCCTATTGAACCAGGCAATGGGATGAGATAATCTCTAAATTAGTTCTCACTCAAAAAGGGTAACAAAATATGGTCAGCATAATAAAGCCGTAAGTTCATTCCCATAAAGTGGGCCCCTTAGAGGCTGAGGCCTCCAGGCCTTCTTGCCTGGGCAGTGCCATCCTAAATCACATCAGGCAAATCCACATGCACCCAGGTGGTACATGAGATAGACGTCGTTTTTTTTGCTATAAAATTTTTGAAGGGCTTTCTAATTTGTTCTGAAATTCTCTGGCTATAAGTTGGCCGCTCTGCCTTCTCTGCCACCAACATGTAATCAAGACTAGGGTTTGAGGTCTCCATTTTGGCGCTTGCTAACATTACGGGAGCTGATACCTGGGGGAGCGGCTGGTCTGAATGAGTCTCTCTAAAACAGGGACAGTGGTGGTACCACCGTCACATCACTGGCAGGCTGAATGCAGCAGCCTCTGTGGCTTAGAACCGTGCCTGGCACACAATACATATTCAAAAGAGGACAGGTATGATTCAAATTTAGTCTTGAAATCCTTTTGGAAATGAGAAAACTTTAACCAAAAAAGATCTGTGGCTCCTAAATTTAAAAATTCATGAAGTTGCCATAATGGTGCATTTTTTTTTTTTTTTTTTTGCCATTTAATTAAACATTTATAAATTTTGATTTTTTTTTTCTGGATTTCGTTTTGTTATTAGACCCAGTAAAATTTCTTTTTTGGTATATTTATGGGCCCTGGAAACACTCTGGGCACTGTTCCTAAGTCACTAATGGGTAAAATGGCCTCGCCCCCAAATGTTGCACTTTATGAAAAAGTCAGAAAGAAAAATCACATCTGAGTAACATCAAAAGTCAGTGCTTCAGATCTAACATGTGGGTCCTGTTCAGTAGAGGCATGACACAGCTACAGAAGTCTCCTCCACACTGTCCTAGAAACGTGACGTGAAATGCGGCAGGTTTCTTGGGGTTCTTCTAGGCAAATGCAGTGCATCTCCCAAGGGTGCCTGGAATCTCTCGCTGCAACCAAGCTTTGCAGGCACAGAAACATGGCCAGCCACCCACTGAATTTCCTAAATCAATGACTAGCACTGGAGACCCTTCCATGGGTGCAAGGCAGCTCCGCCTGCTGCCTGTGTCCTTCGGGGATCTGATGAGGCAGCCCCGGCCTGGGATGGTCAGACCTTGTCATTGGGTGCACATCTCCCACGGGGATGGGTGGACCCACCGCTTTCAGATGCATTGCGGTTGGCAGTCACAGCATCCCAGCGCATTAAAATACATCGACTCCTCTGCTTTCAGGTAGATTTAGAATTTTGTTCATAACCTAGCCACTTTCCACATTTCATTTTGAAAAATTTCTCCTTGAGTTTTTTCAAAAGCTTTGGTTTTTGTTTGTTTTTTCCTGTAAGCCATATAACTAGGGAAGGCATTAGTAAGAATTTGATACACTGGGTCTCATGGAACTCCACCACCACCACCAAAATAATAATAGTAATAATAATAATAACAATAGGTTAGCTTAAAGAAGTAGAAGCTACCCCCTTACACTACATCTGCGTTTAAATTCATTTGAGCTCATTGGCAATTTCTGTGTTCTCCTGTTCATTGCATATTCTTTTCTTTAAAGGCAACTTTTAGAGAAGGTTTGCTTTTTTTTGGCTATCAAAGTATTATTTATGAAAAGTTGGCAATACAGAAAGGGTAAATCAGGTATTATCTATTACTGTACATTATGGCTATATTATCACACATATCACAAGCCACTGACATTCAGTTGGATGCGAAATGCTTTTTTTAGAGTATGATTGACACATGGCATGTTTTCATCAACTTCTGTGTGTAAATTATGCAGGATCACTGGTAAAATTTGTTATCATGAATAGCCAAATATTCTGGATTCACATTCATAAGTAAAAGCCAAGCTTATATATATATACACACACACACACACACACACACACACACAAAGTTCTTTTCTGTTTGCCTTTTCAAAAAGTAACACAATGGAATCAATTTGCCAACTCTCTGGACCCCTATAAAGTTAATTAAAGGCAGTATATTCATTTGGTACTTTCATGATATACATATACTTTCCATTAAAGCAATTACTGACAAAAGCCCAGACTGCTATTGAAATCTTTCAGTGTACTTCCATGTACTGAAATGTCAAACATTTGATACTTTGTTTGATTTTGTATTTGTTTTTGTTCACCATGGCTTAAAAGTCATCTTCCGATTATTTAAAATAAAGAGTAAACATTTGAAATAAGTTCCTAGATACTACATAAATTTATGACCCTTTGAATTTGTTCCTGGTACTACCTTATTTTCACTTACCTTCGAAGTGGTTGTATGATATTTCTAGTTCATTCATTTGAAAGAACTAGGAGAAATATGCGGAACCACGTCCCACACACCTCTCGGACACTGCTCGCCAGGCATAGCCCAGTGTTTCAAAAGTGAACCAGGGGTCTGGGCACAGTGGCTCACGCCTGTAATCCCAGCACTTTGGAAGGCCGAGGTGGGCCAATTACCTGAGGTCAGGAGTTCAAGACCAGCCTGGCCAACATGGTGAAACCCCGACTCTACTAAAAATACAAAAATTAGCCGGGTATGGTGGCAGGCGCCTGTAATCCCAGCTACTTGGGATGCTGAGGCAGGAGAATCCCTTGAACCTGAGAGGCAGAGGTTGCAGTGAGCCGAAATTGCGCCACTGCACTCCAGCCTGGGCGACAGAGTGAGGCTCTGTCTCAAAAAGTAAAGTGAACCAGGGTGCTCAGGGATCCTCGGTGAGCAAGACAGGAGTTTGGAGCTTCAAGTCTAAAACTGCGTTTCAGGTTTTCCCATGTGTAGAATGGACTGCATGATACCTCCCTTGCTAGGGGATGTGAGGATTAAATGAGATAGCCTGAAAGGCGCGCTGGAGCAGTGGCTGATGGCGTAGCTCCAGAGCTGGCTTCCTGATTCAGCCTGGCCTCCCCTTTGGGATCAGATTAACCTCCCCACATTCAGCCTCCTTGTGTATCAAACCAGGAATATGGTATTGCTCTGTTGGGGATTATTGTGCAGATTGAATAAAGTAATTCATAGTAGGGCATAGCACCGTGCTGGGCACAGCAGTGCTCCTTAAATATTAGCTGCTGTTATTAAAGCACGTGCTCTAGACAGGTAGGCCCCTTGACTTTGTCCCAAAGACCTTATGAGAGGAAACAAATGGAATTCTGTCCAAGTGGGGTCCAAATGTTTACCATTGCCAAGTTACTTAAAAAAAAAAAAAAAAAAAAAAAACTTGGCAGATTTGGCCCTCACGATACAGTACAATAAGGGCTTTTTCTCTTTTCCTTCCATGCTACCTATTATTAATTCCAAATACTGCATCACTGAATGGGCGTCAACACATGTATTCCTCATTGAAACATAACCTTGTTAACCATGTTACCCTACTTCCTTGAGGCAGAGCTTTTTGCAATTAAAGGTTTTATCAAAATGCAGTTCTGCTTAACATGAAGCACCTATGCTGTTGTGTGACCTGCGAAGCTCTTAGCATCTAGAAGCTTCCCCTGGGTCATCTATAAGATGGGAATAATACTATGAGTTCTGCCTACTGCACAGGATTCTTTAGGATACATTGAGATAATATCAATGTGCTTTTTAAGTAGTCAGGTAATAGATAATTAGATAATTTTAAAAATAGAAAAATCTATTATTGTTTTGCATGCACTATATTAAAATCTTAGGGATTTTAAATAAAATTAATTGATTTCTTGAAAGTAGATATCATCATGTCTTTCAGGATTGGTGAGAATAAATTAAAGAGAAAAAAATGGAAACGTTTACATCAGCCCCCACTGTGAATCCATACTTTCAGAAATTTTACCTTTTTCCATTAGCATATCTTCATGTTTTCCCTACCTACAACTAGATACCCTTTGTAAATGTTGAAAACAAAAGAAGTAACCTTGGCAAATAATTGAGAACTGAGTTTTATTTGAATATACTTTTCTCTTACAAGACCAAATACAGTTTTTCTTCTAAAACTCTGTTATTCCATTTTCTTTCAATGAAATGCTCACGGAACCAGAAGGCTTGGGAAGAGGCTCAGAGCACCTAAGAGTTGCTGAGTCCGTATTCCTTTTTTCCCCTGTGGCTTTTTATATACGCTCCGCGCCTGCGATTTCTGGATTTGATTTCAGGGAGGTGAAATCTTACACCCCTGAGTCTCAGTGCCAGTTTCCCAGGACGAGTCAAAAACTGCAGCTGCTTGGAGGTGAGAATCTTCCAAGGCTCCAGAGGCCAGCTCGCTGTCCTGTTCATTTGCTGACATGCTGCCGGGAGCAGCTTCAGAGAAACCCGTTCTATTCTTTGGGTGATTCAGCCAGTCTCAAAATAAATAGGTAGCCGAGCGCAGGGAGAAAGAACTGGAAACCACTGAAATTTGAGTCTTGAGGGCCAGTCTGTTCTCGGGAGCTGCTCTGTTGAACTCTAAAAGGAATCTTGAGCCCTGGGCGAGGGAGCGGCCTGGTCTGGTGGAAAGCCTGCGGGCCTGCCAGTGGAGTCTTCGTCTGGCCCTGCCTAGCTCAGTGAATTTCAGCAGCTCGTGTCTCCTCTTAGACCCCCAGGTTCCTCATCTACAGAAGGAGAAAGAAAAGGAGACTGAATGATTTTTAAGGTCTTTATCAGCTTCTAAAAGTTTGATTTGATGTTTGTAGGAGCAATTGTTCTTTCAAAGCACCATCTTCTAACCTCAGGAAAGAGAGCCCAGGGGCCACTGCGGTGTCCTGCCAAGCTGGGAAGACAAAGATGGTGACTGAGAAGGTGGGGGTGGGGCAGGGGGAGAAGGGGGAAGAAGGGAGAATGGATCAACTCACATCCCAGGCCGGGGAAAGAGATGAATGAACGTCCACGCTAGAGTGACATGCTGTAAGTAGGGGAAATCTTCCTAACTAGAGTTCCCATGACTTTGGCAACATTTGGAAAAAAAAGACATCCTTAAACCCACAAAGTACTCAATTGTCCAAGCCCCAGCATGGCCAACTTCCCAAAGCTGGCCGGTCAGAGACCTTGGTGTTAATTCCTCAGCCAACTAAAAAAAGATGGTGTGAGTTCTGTTGACTTAATTGTTGGAGTGTTTCTGAGTGGGGCCGCCTCCCTCCTCTGCCTCCTCGCAGTATTATGGGCTGTTCTGCATTACCTGCCCTACCTATCTTCACAATCTAGCCGCAAACAGCTTCGGTTGACCACACCACTTCCCTATTGAAAGTTAATACTGTTTGACTCATTCTGTGTTACTAACCTGAAGCCAAAGAAAACAAGGCAGAGAATAACTGGCTTGTATGGAGTTTGGAAAGCTCTCGGAGGCCCCGCTTTCAAAATCCTATACAGTAGCTTTACTATATCTCTCTGCGGCAGCTGCTGAGAAAATGAAGGAAGCAGAAGTGGTTAAAAAAGAAGTTGGGGGTGGGGAAGAGACTGGGAAGGGAGTGGTGCGGGGTCCCCCTCTGGCTGGGAAAAGACGGGAAATCTGCGGCAGTTTATGAGGGCTGTCTCTCAGCTGAGGTCTTGCTTTGACACACCAGAGTGTTCGCACAGAAGAGGGACTGTTGACGGAGTTAAAAGGAGAGGAAAGTTCAAAACAGTCGTTGAAAAGGCAGCTCTCCTGTTGCCTGCGTAACACAGAGGAGCTGGGAGGCTGGTGTCACCAGGTCAGGCAGCCATAGGCAAAGACTCAAGCTAGACAGGTCAGGGGGAAGGTGTGTCCCTTTCGAATCTGGAAAGGATTGAGGAGGGGGAATGTTGCCGAACAGAAGGCGGTCCTGGGCATCCATCCTTGCCTCCATCCCTGCCCCCATCCCTGGCAAGGATGGAAACTTCCCTTCCTTCATTTCCTAACTGGCTCAGATGTGGTCACCAGGGTGAATAGGAGGCACTAGTGTCTTGGAATAAATAGAACTTTCCCTCCCAATGTTACCTGGCAGACAGTGGACCAGCATCTTCATCACCATGCTGCGGCTCTTTGGGAGTCTAGGCAAACAGTCACTCACCCATTCAGGTAACTGGTAGAAGAGGCCTCCCTCCTCACAGATGCCCCTTCTCAGCAGGTGCTGCTTCTGGCACGTGGACAACGGTGCGTGGAAGTGAGCCTGATGCCTGAATGAGGATGTCAGGCCACAAACAACTGAAAACCTTATGTGTGAGGGAGGGCCTACGTTCGACAACTAGCTGCTGTTGGCTTTTGTACTAGTGAGTACTCAGGAGCTGTGAGTGGCCAGGGTGCCCTGGCAAGGGCTTTGCCAGGCCAGCCTAGAACTTCAGTTGGCGTCTGTGACAGGAGAGAGGGTCAGAGTCAGATGCTGTTCCCCTGCTGTTGGGAAAGTCCCTGAGGCCCAGCGGGCAGGGCTTAGAAACAGGAGGGAATTTCCTTCCCTCTTTTTAGAAGTACAGAGGAGAGATCGTCCTCCACACTGCTGGGTAAGCATTCCAGAATAAATCTAGTCAAGGAAAGGGGCTCACTCATTCATTCGTTGACTCACTCATTCATTCATTTGTCCAGCATTTATGGAGGCATCACCCAACCTTGGAAGGGCCCTGCATTTACCTCTGTCCTGTCCAAACATGCTCAGTGTCTGTCAATTATGCATGAGATCTGCTGCTGCAGGAGGGGAACTGAGATTCCTGCAGGGAGGTTAGGAGGCCAGTGTGGAGAGCCGCAGTGCTGGTGACGTGCTCACGCAGGCAGTGTGTGTGCACCTCCGAGATCTTCTCCTGGCCCCCAGGTCTTGCCTGTCCACCCCAGGGATAGCCCTGCTGATGCCTGAGCTCCAAAGCCAGGTTAGAAGCTCCAGGCAGCGTTCTGTGAGTCAGTGCTCATCTCTCCATAGTGTGCCACCCACCGCCAACACTTTCTTTCCCTTCTGCAAGTCGCCTTCTCTTAGAGTCTGTCCCTGGGCAGGAGCTACTCTGATCAACAAATCCGTGTCCCTGGTGGTTACCACCGTCTGGTTACTCTTCAGTTACACTGTAACTGGAGGTTTCCTTGAGATAAGACCTTAACCTAGGGAGGGTTGCTAATAGTTGGGATTATAGGCTGGTAGAAGAAGAAAAACCTTGAACTTGGGAGCTGTCTGCACCCCTTCTAGGAAGCTGCCTCCACTTCCCGCACGAGGGCTACCTCTGGTCAGGAGCAAAAGCCAGCAGGCAGCTTCTCTGCCCTGAGCTCAAGTTACCTCCTTAGTCACGAGACAGAAATGGACAGTGAGCCCTGGCGACCGGGGATGCAGATTTAGATTTTGAGTGCTCTGCTTTTAGGAGAGGCCCAAGTCTCCAAGAGCTCATGTGAGTGGGCGAAAAACTCCACTGCTCATGGCAATGAGCCCTGGACTCAGGGAACAGAGTTTTGTCTGGGTTTTTGTCCCGTGAGTCTTGGGCGCACGGTGCAGGGAGGATGGGGAGGGGCAGGCCCGTGTGCGTCTCTGGCTTGAAGCTGTGTTGGTTGCTGATCTTGCCTTGGCCTTGGCCAGCCTTTTCTCTCCATTGGCTGTTGCTTGCTACACTTGTCTTGGCCCATGTCCTGAGGGCAATCACGGAACGGTGTGTGTGTGTGAGTGGATGTATGGATGTGTGATGGAGGTATATATATTATGTGTATATGTGTGCATGTCAGTATGTGTGTATGTTTGTATGTGTGTGTCCCCACGTCTGTATATCTGCCTATGTATATATGCATGCGTGTCCCTGTGTGAGATATGTATATGTGTGTGTGTGTGTCTGTGTATATGTGTCTGTCCTGGTTTGTGTCTGTATGTGTATGTGTGTCTGTGCATGTATTAATATATGTGTGCGACGTATGTACATGTGTGTCTGTGTGTATTTATATGTGTGTATCCCCATGTGTGTTTTATGTCTGTGTGTGTGTCCAAGTATCTGTGTGTGTGTCTGTATGTGTTTACATGCATGTCTGTGTTTGTGTGTGTGTGTCCATGTGTGTCTGGATATGTGTATATATGTGTGTGTCCATGTGTATCTACCTTATTTTTGTTTTGTTTTGTTTTTTGAGACAGAGTCTCACTCTGTCGCCCAGGCTGGAGTGCAGTGGCGCAATCTTGGCTCACCACAACATCTGCCTCCTCTGTTCTAGCAATTCATCTGCCTCAGCCACCCAAGTAACTGAGACTACAGGCACGCGCCACCATGCCCAGCTACTTTTTGCATTTTTTAGTAGAGACAGGGTCTCACCATATTGGCCAGGCTGGTCTCGAGCTCCTGACCTCATGATCTGCCTGCCTCGGCCCAAAGTGCTGGGATTACAGTCGTGAGCCACCACGCCCGGCCGCATCTATGTGTGTTTATGTGTATGTCTGTGTCTGTGTGTATGTTTGTGCATGCATGTCTGTGTGTGTGTGTGTGTGCATGAGTGTGCCATGTGTGTTTTTGTATGTCTCTGTGTGTGTGTGTGTGTGTGTGTGTGTGAGAGAGAGGGTACTCACTACAAAGAAACCGGAGAAGCTGGTACACTTTGCCTATGTCAGGATGCCACTCTCAACTCAGCAGAAGAACCTTTGACCCATTGTTTTTGATTTTTTACTATGAAAATAAATGAGTTTTCCTGACTGAATTTGTTTTGTTTTGTTTTTTTGAGACGGAGTCTAGCTCTGTTGCCCAGGCCAGAGCACAGTGGCACAATCTCGGCTCACTGCAAGCTCCACGTCCTGGGTTCATGCCATTCTCCTGCCTCAGCCTCCTGAGTAGCTGGGACTACAGGTGCCTGCCACCACACCCAGCTAATTTTTCTGTATTTTTTTTTTTTAGTAGATACAGGGTTTCACGGTATTAGCCAAGATGGTCTCAATCTCCCGACCTCATGATCTCCCCGCCTCGGCCTCCCAAAGTGCTGGGATTACAGGCGCGAGCCACCGTGCCCGGCCTTTTTTTTTTGGAGATGGACTCTCCCTCTGTCACCCAGTCTGGAGTGCAGTGGAGTGATCTTGGCTTACTACAGCCTCTACTTCCTGGGTTCAAGAGATTCTCCTGCCTCAGTCTCCCAAGTAACTGGGACTACAGGTGCAGGCCAACATGTCTGGCTAATTTTTTTATATTTTTAGTGCAGATGGGGTTTCACGATGTTGGCCAGGCTAGTCTTGAACTCCTGACCTCAAGTGACCCGCTTGCATCGGCCTCCCAAAGTACTGGGATGAGCCATCACGCCCGGACTGATTTAACTTCTAATGAGACAATTCTCTATGAAACTATGCTCAGTTATGATATTATATTTTTTCTCAACAAGAAGTTTTTCTGTAGTTACATTTCAGCTGAAAACTTTAATTACAACTTCCTTCACCTGAAATGATTTATACTTTCCTACAACCTAGTGGAGGGTGATTGGACGGCACCAATCATGAAGGACCTGAGTACTCATTCATTCATTCATTCAGCCAATAGTAGTGAGCCTCTAGGCTCCAGATGGTTTTGTAGGTGTTGGAGAGACATGGCTGTGCAGAAAAAATACAAAATCCCTGTCCTTACAGACCTTACAGTCCCGTGGGTGCAGATAGACCCTGGGTAACATTAACACATGCTATGGAGAAAACCTAAGCCAAAGGGCTAGGGATTGGCTGGATGGGGCACAGTCTGCAACTTAAAAGGGGATCTCCAGGAACTCCTCAGGGAGGAGATGACATTTTAGCAAATACTTGAAGGGTGGGAGGGGTCAGATCCACAGGAATCTCAGGGAAGAGCTTCCTGAGCAGCGTAAACAGTCAGTGCAAAGGCCCCAGGGGAGTGATGAGGGAGCAAGGGCAAGGGGGCCACTGCTGCCAGAGCAAAGAGGGGAGCTCAACCCATCTGCCTTCTAGTTTCAAGTAGGAGGCATTTGCCTTAGAAAGCAGGCTTAAGAAAATGCCGCCTGACCTCAGAAACCTGTACTTTATGTTACCTGAGAGGCCACTGTCGGACCATGGTTTGGGAAGGCCCAGAGTAGGGAAGCCCCGTGCACAGGTGGACCCAGTGGGTGCTTGCTTTCCTGTTACCACCCACAAGAGTACAAAAGCTCTTCCCAACCAAAGGCTCTGCTATTCCTGCTGGTGATTCTCTGGGGCTAAAGCAGAACCCCTCTAGAAATCCCTGAGTGAGTAGAAGGAATTCCCAGGAAGTGGAGGCATCCTAGGGGACTTGCCAGGATTCATCCACCTCTAGGAGGCGTAGGGGCACGAGCTGGAGGAACGGGGGCCTGCACAGGGAGTGTGGGCGGAGTGGGTGACGGGTACTCACCTAGGACGTATGTGCCTCCTGCCACTGATGGAAAAGGTGGGCATTCAGGGTGAACGTATCATTGTTTTCCAACCCAGACAAGAAGCTGGGAAGTGAGAGCCTGGATGAGTGGTCCGCAGAGTGGCTTTCTTCCCAGGTGCAGCCTCTGACAACTTCCTAGCAAATTTTAAGGTGGGTTTAATGTCCCACTCCCTCTGGACTCAGCCTTGGGATGCTAGAGGGGGAGGGGTGAAAGCAGAATGGAATGTCCCAGTCAGCAGGGTAGCACGAAAGGCTCTGTGAAGGCTTAAGGGAGAGAGGAGAGCACCTTTGAATACTAAAGCCCAAGGTCACCTATAACTAACTGTCCAAAGGGTCATTGATGAAACAGCTGGAGGCAGAGGGAGAGTGAATTCTTAGGACACCTCGTGCAAAGCTGCTGACCCCCAGCACACGGAGAGGTAGAGCAGGCCAGGTGGGATCCCAGGCTGGGCGACCTGGTGGGGATCAAGACAGAGCTCTGAGACCAACCTGACAGTTAGACTTGGCACTGGCTTCCGGAGGCCAGGTGTCTGCCTGAAAAAAGACAAAGGGAAAACTTTGAAAGTCGTAACCTCATTCGACGTTGTTCAAGAAAGACCGTGCTTAGAGCCATCCGACAAGAACCAGCTGAGTAGATAATCGCAGCAGATGTAATTGCTGTGGATGCTTTGAGTCCCTTGGAGTAATCCTCATAGTCTCTTAATTCCAGGCTTCCAGATATGGAGCCTCAGTGACGAAGAAACTTGTTCTTGTCCACAGCAAAGTTCGGTAGAAAAGCAGATTTAGAATGCAGAATTCTTAACGCCTACACGGGCATTCACATTTCCCTGGGACCATGTTGTTTCTCTAGAGGGGAGGAGGATTGTGGCATCTGCATTAACACCCGCTCCTGTGGGCACTCAGAGAACTTAGCTGCTGCATTTGTGGAACGGAATAAAGGTTCCATGTAACCCTTCCCTGCCATTCCCCAAAGCCTTTCCACAGATGGCACAGCAGAAGTTACTTGCTGCTTGAGAATTTGGGGTTCTCAGATTTGAGACTGTCATGATAATCAGTCTGACTGGAACAGAATGTGCCCAGTTATTGTGGGAGACAGAGACAGTCACACACCTGCCTATCTGCAGGGCAGAGTTTGGGCATTTTCAGCTGCTCTGTGTGTATTGAAGAGTTAAAAAAATGAAAAGACGGCCAAATAGTTATCACCAAAAGGAGGCCATCAGTCATTGCTCGTGAACACAGTCTAAACACAGTTCAGGCACGTTTCGTTCATGTGTTTTTCCCCAGCACACAGCACATCAGAAGCAGGTAGGAGAAGGGAAGTAGTAATGCACAGTGGAAGCCTGAGTACCAGGGGGAGCTCTCCCTTCCATGCAGGTATTCCCAGTGTGCTCCCTGTATCGGCAGCCTCAGCATCACCTGGACCTTGTTAGGACTCCAAATTCTCAGGCCCTTCACCCCAGACCAACCTACCAAGCTAGAATGCCCAGGTAATTCCACTGCCCGCTCAAGCAGGTGAAACAGCCTCACAGCCTGCAGGTCACAGTGTGGCTGGGGCTGTCTTCTGATTCTACACATACACTGGGAGCAGAAGTGAGATGGTCGAGGCAGATGCAAACGTTCAGGGGCTTTCATGTCTGAGATCTAAAACCACGTAGCATTGTGCACTTCTCCACTCTGTTCGCTTTGAGTTCACAGAAATGTGTATTTCTAGGTGCACTGAGAGCACATCCCGAGCGTGTGTGTCGGTGGGTGTTGAATTTGTAGGTGCACTGAGAGCACATCCCGAGTGTGTGTGTCTGTGGGTGTTGAGATGGGTGTGTTTTCAGACCTGCCGTCTTCCCGTAACTGACTTTGTGAGATTGGGCAAATGACATAACCTCTCTGAACCTCACTTCCCACACATCAGTTAAAAACCAAGGCCGATTTCTCTGGCCCTTCTCCAGTTCTGAAGTACTCCAGCCTTGTGGTGGTGTCTTAGCTTAACGATATGAGAAGAAATTGGGGCGGGGGAAAGTGAGGCTGCCCATAGTTATGTAGCCCTAGACGATATATAAGCATGCATATATAATATGAATTAGAATGTATATTGACATTCTATATGCCATCATATAGTTTATATTATATAGTATATATAATATACATGTGATATATAATATTGAACAATATTTCCCAACATTAAATTAGCCAGCAGATAGTTAGGTTTGCAATTAGGGAGATTTATTTCACCACCTGCAAGGGGCTTCAGGAAGGGTCACATTCAGTACTGTCACTTTGAAATCCTAATGACCCCGCAACCTAAAGGTTAGACTCTGATACCAGGAAAAGTAAGCTGTTCTCTACACACATTGATTTCTTTTCCATTGTCATAAAACAGTAACAAATCAAGGAAAGAAAACCCCATATTTTTATATCCAGATTCATGCAGGGAGTATCCCATTCACTGGCCAACATCTCCTGAAATACAGATGTCCTTTCAAAATTGACTATATAAAATTCTTATATGCTTTTTAGAAGAACCACAATTTTATACGTGTATATACGATATATATATATATATCTTTTTTGTATTATGCTTTTGCATAGATTTGGCTCAATGGTGCATCATGACAGTCTTCTGAGTATATACCTTCCCCATTTTTCTGCTGAGAATCTATCAGGAAAACTAGTAAACCCCTATCAGAAACGTAGACTAATATGTTGTTGACTGCCAGAAAATTCTTTATTCTCTCTAACCACAAATTTCCAAGAAACGGTGACAATTTAGCCTTATCTAGTTTCTTTAATGGAAGATCATATATTATATTTCTGTTACTTACAGCCACAGATCACAATGGTGTCTTTAAAAAGGCAGCTCAGTTATCAATGAGATTTTAGCATACCTGCTCAGTTTAGTTTGTACAGCAGAAAAGTGAAGCTGGTCTCACTATCCGTTACAAAATATAACATTTAAGGCTGCTCTAGTGAGCAGCCAACCCCAAAAACAACAGAAATGCCTTTGGAATGAAGTAAAATTTAGCAAATGGCATTGACTTATTTGTATTACATATACTTTTTCACCTTTTTTGGATTTTTATGACTCTGCATACATAGTAAAATTCCAACCAAGTACTTTTCTTTTTTTCAAAAATGAGAAAATGGTAATAGAAGAATTTAGGACGCTTTTCAACTCTGCTTAAGATTAAGATGTCCCAGTGTGAAATCCTGACGTGCCCACTACTTTAAGCACCATCCTGTAAACATTCACAGTTGACTTCAAACATGCTGAAGAAGCCAAGCTGCCAGCATGCAGGTGTTCAGAGCTGCATCCCGGTTCTACCCAAGGGCTGGACCCAGGGTTGAAGTCCCTGCTGCCCTCTAAAGCCCAGTACTCAGAAAGAAGAAAAGTGAATTGGATAGTAGACATTTTCCATAGTCCTCTATTTCTAATTCAGGGGGCAAATGAGCCTTTTAATTGAACACAGATACAGGAAACTGAAGACATAAAGTATTCATTTTCCCCAGCTGGAAAGTTCATATCGGAAGTTCCTATATTTCACGCAAAATATTGCTATCTGGCACATGAGGTCTGATGGTTTCAGAAAGTAAGAATTAGATGTTCCTTTGATCTAGCTTGTAAGTGCATCCGAACCACACCTTGAACATGATAATGCTTCTCATTTCCCCTGTGCCTTGGTGTTACAGCTCTCCAGCACCACTGTGAGCCTGAGGGTCAAAACCCCCTACTAAGGCAATAACGTTCCAACTTACTCCCAGGAACACACGTGGGGAGAGTAGAGTGGGCTCTTCCCCAATCCTCCAGCATTAAACTCAGCCCTGAGACTCCCAGGGCTTAGAAAACAGCTTAGACTGAAGAATTGTTTTCTCTGGGAGTTATGCCTGAACACTTCTGCTAAAGCAGACAGTCATCAGTTAATCTCTATAAATGACTACAATTTTGGCAGGTATCAGCTGGTATAGAAATTGCTCACAAGTTAAAGCTCTCATTTCTTAGTTTATGGTAATGAGGGGGACTAATTAAAACAAAAAACAAAGAAACAAACAAAAAAACCTCACGTGGTGCCTGACCACAGGACTGGCTTACCTGAAATGATGATTCCTATTGGGTGTCTCCGTGGCACAGGTCCCCACGCTTGCTGGCTAAGAGAGACACAACTGGCAAGAGCCTTTCCAAGGCTGATTGTGGACTCTACCACGTCAAGTGCTGTGTATTCACAATGACCTCACTCACATCACTCCCCTGTCCTTGAAACGGTGTTCTTCAAAAATGCCACTAAGTGCCCGAGGAATGTGAAGTTTTGAAATGAACACAAAACCTGCCAGCAGCCTTTGCCGACTGGCATTATTTCTGAGGCAGACAGCTCTCCACAACCATTTGTCCTGCCTTCTTCTTTCCCCTAACTCGTAACGCCAGGCATTAGATTGTGGTAGGAGGTTAAAGGGCTGAGTTATTATGTTTTGAATGGTTGTTCCATTGGAACTGTTTGTTTTTCTGCAAGAAAACTGCAGATTCTTCAGTTTGATCATCAGGAAGCCAAGGATCTATGGCAGAGATAAGAGGAGGGAGGAGCTAAGGCAGGCTTCATCCAGAGGCACTGAGTCACACCATGACTGACCAACACAGGGCGTTCTAGAAAAAAGACATTTTCATACTTCTGAGGGAAAGGGATGATGGGAGTTGCTCCAAGACCTGGCCCCATGGCCTTTCATCCACAAAGCCGGTGCTTAAAATACTCAGCCGAGAACAGGCCTCCCACATGCGTGCTGACCTGCGTGACTCAGGCTGTTTGCGTTCAAGTCCCCTGTTGTGGGCTGGAGCGCTGAATCAGAGTCCAGATTTGCCTTGGTGACACATGACAGGAGGGGGCGTTGCATTTGAACTACGCAAATATTATGCTTAAGTATTTTTCCTCATTTTGGAGCCAAACAGGTCTCGTTAATGATAAAATCACTGCAATATAGTGGGCCCTTTTTTTCTGGTCTGGAATTTGAGACAGTGTCAACTGTGCCAAGGGGCCTGGCAGCAGGAAGAAATGGCCAGCCATGGAGATTTACAGCCATAATGCAAGTTATACCATTTAATTTTATGATCGTAGCCATCGGGAGCTGGACTACAGTGCACTTCTCGTGGTCTGCTCTTACCCCAGGCTGTGGGAGTGGAATCAAGGGAGCCTCTTTCTAGTCTAGGATTGGGTCAGGGCACGTGAAAGAGCACTTTATAGGGGCAGCGGGCAGGCTGCTTCTCAGTCTGGCTTTGGGGACACTTGACAATAGGGAACAGGGATTGTGCAATTGATCGAGGACTCTTTATTGGAACCATAAGGCTGAGGACGCAGCAGGCCATTGTTTTTAACAGAGAAATGAATGGCCCAGGCCTCCTGTGGCTGCCTCCCTACCTTGGAGCCTCAGCTGTGCTTGACAGGACTGGCTCTGGTTTAAGGACATTTTGAGAAAACCATAGGCCCCAGTCCCCTGTGAGTGGCCTCTGCTTGCTGCTTCCTGGTGACAGTTGTTTTGGTGAAGAGCATGATGAGGACACTTGTTATCTGTATAGACACTGAGGGGCCCACCATCCCATCCCACCCGTCCTGAGCCCCCTGGGGAAGCTCACCAGATAGGCCGCAGCTACCCCTGGGCTCCAGGGGCCTATTCTGCTGGGAATATTGGACAAGACACAGGCGAGGCCTTCCTGTCAACTCCTTCTTAAGGGTACACAGGGGAGTCGGCTTTGGGGAAGAAGGAATGCTTGTGAAAAGCCTGTGAGGAGAGGGAAAGGGAGAGGGGCTGAGGGGCTGAGGATGCCCTGCAGGTGCCTGGAAATCTGACCTCCCCAGAGGCTGAGGGTTTGCAGCCACGCCTCGTTTCCTCTTGGACGGAGCCCTGCCAATAAGCTGCAGGGCCCACTTTGCTGCCTCTAAAGCCAGTCGGTGGTTGGGTTTGCAGTAAGGAACAGCCGTTCTGATGCCCCTGGGAGGCTACCTTTCCTGGCTGCCATAGCATAGGCCCGGCATGTGGCCATGTACCAACAATTAATGCACCTCTTTTCCTCCCGGCATCACCACCACCACCACCAAGTTCCGTATCCCACTGAATTGTGCCCGTTGGAAGTGGGTGTAGAGGGTTGGGGAGGGTGCTGAGGCCCAGACTGGGGGAGCACTCTGTGGCCAGGGCAGTGAAAGGGGGCCCGTTCTGCTGAGAGGACAGTGGCCCCAAATTCCCACTGGCGGCTAGCCCAATGGGCAAATCTCTACCAAGTCTATGTTGGGGTGAGGGGAGAGAGGGGAAAGACAAGAAAAGCCCCAATTTTAGGAAATCCACAATACTTTTTCTGATCTCTTCCCTCCCTCCCTCCTTCCCTGCCTCCCTTCCCTCTTCCCATCCCCTCCCTTCCCTGCTCCCCACAATAGGACATCGGCAGAAACTAGATGATCAGACCAAGCCCGGGAGCTTGTCCTTTTCCGAGCGGCTCAGTGAACTGGAGCAGCTGCGGCGCACAGCCATGAGGGTCAGCCCACACCACCCAGCCCCCACGCCCAACCCTCGTGCCTCCCTGAACCACTCCACTGCCTTTAACCCTCAGCCTCAGAGTCAGATGCAGGGTAAGTACCAGACGGAGCCCACCACCCACAGCTGGGTCCCATGTGCAAACACCCTCCCAGACCCACTGGGGTTTCCCCTTGATGCTCAGAGAAAGGCCTCGAACCAACAGCACCACCTGGGAGCTGTTGGAAATGCAGAGTCTTGGGCCCCATCCCAGACCCACCAAGTCAGATCTGCCTTGCAACCAGATCCCCACAAGGAAAAGCACTGCTACAGAGGATACGAGGAGCTCTGGGTATGGATATCCATATTGGATAGATAGCTCTCTTGAATTTTTTAAGAGTTAGCTTTGGCTATGCTATTTTTTTACCTACCCATTAGACTTGAAGACACACACACACACACGTCAAGCAAGGTGAAGATGGGGATGTTTCAAGTTCTCACTATTGCCAGATTATTTGTGAGTTTTGTATCTAGTGTTTTTTTGTTATTAAGAAATAGTAGAAATATATGGATGCCATCACATCAAGGGTGTTATTTGCATATCAATATAGAATGCAGGTCCCCCTATCCCATGGGGCTAGCTGGCAATTACTAAAGCACTGTAAGATGCAATAATTGCCTGAGGCCCACTGTGCCCAATTAGATAATACAAGAAGTTCATTTACACTGTAGAACCAGTGACGTCAATGACTGTTTGCTCTGTGATACCGTTTCAGAAATCCAAAATGCAGACTTTCCTCTGTGCCATGCAGGATGCAGCTGTGTGTGATATGGTTTACAGTGATATTTCTTTCTCAAAGTAGCAGGCTTGTTAAGGAAAAGATAAGCAACACATCTGGGGGAAAGGGCAGGTGGCCAGCAATCGATGTGGGAGCTCCTTGCCCCTCTCGGACAGCAGGAATTAGCTTCCCCAGGCATTTTCTGTATGTGAGTTGTATTGTGGGATGGACAAATATCATCTGTTCTTTTGGGTGCCCAGGCCAATAGCTCTCTATTTTGGGTTAAAACATGGGTTCTCAAAAGGCATGCCCACTGTCTCCCATAGAGCTTGACAGCCCATGCCATTCGCTCTCAGTTAGGTTTCTGGGGGAGGCTCTTTTACTTAATTGGAAAATTTCCAAATAAATCTTCCAAGAAGATAGTATGCACACAGCTAAGTGGCCTCTCTGTGGAGTAACCCTTTTGTAAACAAACAGAAACCTAAAGCTTGATGTTTTGGGGGGCTGCCTGTCATCTATAGGTTCATTTAGGTGTATTCAGGAAGAGGATCCATGAGACCATTGGTTTCCTGTTACATAATAATCATTAATAATGACTTAAAATGTATACATTGATTTTTTTAAATTCCAAAATACAAGCATATGTGGCAAATTAAGTCAAATGGTTTGTTAAGTGAGCGAGATGGGCTTGGGGCGAAACAATACTTTGCTTCCAAAGAGGATACAGCTCTCAAGGAGATTCTTTCATCTTGCCTTTAAGGTCATTTAAGCTAATTCTCATCATCTATTCATGTGTAAAATCGAAAGGAAGACTGTTTTCTTAGTCTCTCATTGCCTAAGTGGCCATTTATACTACTAGGTTGATGAAGGGATTTGCCTTTTTCTGCTGATATGGGAACAGAAAGTCTGAGCATTTTTAAAGGCAATGGAAAATTCAGCCCCATGGGGGAAAATCGAAATTGTCACCATTGAGTTGCTCTGTTTTTTGGTGAAGAGTGAATCTAATCTGATTTCCTTCTTCATCAGATACGCCTCTTTAACAACAACAAAAAAAAATGGGGGCAAGTTGCGCATTGAATTCTCATCCCGAAGTTCCTGGGCAAAAGCATTATTGTGGACCATGTGATGGGCATTCGTCAGCTCTTTGGAGTCCTATATGCTTAGCAGAGGATCAGGTTTAACACTAAGCATCGCCCCTGTTTTGTTCCTCATGAAAACTTTTTACTTCTGCAACATTGAAGAAATCATAACTCCCTTTTAGAGTTCCCTAGGGGCTTGGTTGCTACTCTGAAGAATGTGTGAACTATATTGCTTGTGTTCTTTCCTTCCAAAATATGAATTTGATATTTAGTACTTCACTTGTAAAATTTCAGGAGCAACTTTTGAAAAATGAGTATCCAGAATATTTTCATGTGAAACAACTTTTCCTTTTCCTTTTGTTGTTTCTTTCCTATAAGAAAACGCTGTTTTCCACTAATCATGTTTTGAGTAGACCCTTGGGCTCTTTCTCTTGAAATTGGAAAGTTAACAGGCGTAATATGCAAGTGTTATTCAGCCAAGACCTTCAGTTTGTTCTTGACATGTAGGAAAATGCTTATTTTCCAGGCTCAGCCCTGAAGTTTCTATGTTATATTTACAAAGATACTTTAAGAAATACAGCATGTGTTTATGGCTGTCTTTGAAATGGCAGTGGTAGTCTTCAGAAAAATATCCAATTTGTCAGAGCAGTTCTACAGCGGTGCTGTCCAGGAGCATGAATGTTTTTCAGCTTTACAGAAATGTCAGTAACTGGGGGTTTGGAGAGCTTGCTGGGATTTACAGAGAGGCTCAGGAGCCCTACCTTGCTAGGACTTTATTGGAAGGGTTATGCCAGCTTCTCTAACTCTGTCAGCAAGAAAATGCTGATATAGAATAGCACCAATACTTACCTAGAATCACATGTACTGGAGGGTCACTCAAAATAGACATCTCAAATTATCTGAAGCACGGTACAGATTGAGAGGGGGCAGGTTGCCATGCCACTAAACCACTGTTTATTTGTTGAGGTCTTAACTATTAAAGGGCTGAGGTTTATTTCAACTTCCTATTTTACCAGGTCTTAAACTTGACTAGAAAGCCATTTTGTCATGAGTAGACCCTTGGGCTACACGTTTCTCCCAGTCAAGACACCATCGTTAACTTCTATGACCCAAGTCTTAGAAATCTTTTTTAATTTATTTCAAAAGATAGAACAGGGCAGATTCTAGAGCTGGTGGTACTGATGCCTGTTCAGTCACAACTCTCACCTAGAGAGGGGTTTGGGCAACCCGAGTGAGTGATTTTAAAATTTCACCCGATTGACCAAATATGATGTATCACATTTAAGGTGTCGTAATTTCCTCCTTTCTGGGAATATGAGGATGGAGTAATAGATGCTGGTACAGAAAACTGAAACCTAGATAAACTAGGAAGCCCATTTTGTTTTTCTTCTGCATGCTGGTTGTCATAAACATGTAGGAGGAAGGTTTAACTCTATTTTTTTTTTTTTTTGAGACGGAGTCTCGCTCTGTCGCCCAGGCTGGAGTGCAGTGGCGCGATCTCCACTCACTCAGGCTCCACCTCCCAGGTTCACGCCATTCTCCTGCCTCAGCCTCCCATGTAGCTGGGACTACAGGCGCCCACCACCGCGCCCGGCTAATTTTTGTATTTTCAGTAGAGACGGGGTTTCGCCGTGTTAGCCAGGATAGTCTCGATCTCCTGACCTCGTGATTCGCCCATCTCAGCCTCCCAAAGTGCTGGGATTACAGGTGTGAGCCACCGCGCCCGGCCAAGGTTTAACTCTTTAACTGGGCCAGTTGTGAGCTATTTTGACATGGGTCAGACATTTGTATATATCATTCCATTCCCTCAACAATCCTATGGTATGGTTTATGGACAGAGAAATCGAAATTCAGAGGTTAAAAATTGCCCAATATCTCAAAGATTGTAAGTGATGAACTTGGACGCAAACCCAGACCTTCCTTGCTACAGAGCCAGTGCAAGTGGGTAGGCCGTTCCCTGGGCATGCACTCTTGGGTCAAGGATCGATTTACTACAGGGCTGACCAGTGTCGAGAAGAATCTCAATCACCAAAGGAGGGATGGAAGAAG